ATTAAAACACCAAATTTGCATCGGATTTAAGCCTAAGAATTCCAAAATCTTCTAAATTACGCTTTCGATCAAAAAGTCTATCAAACCTCGTCCGAATGGCCTGAAATTTTGCATACACGTCACAAATGACGCCACAGACCTACTCCAACTTCCGGAATTCCATTCCGACCCTTATGTCAAAATCTCACCTATCAACCGGAAAACGCCAAAATCTCAATTTCGCCAATTCAAGCTTAAACCTTCCACGGACTTCCAAAATATATTCCGATCACGCTCCTAAGTCCCAAATCACCTAGCGGAGCCAACCAAATCATAAAAATGCCAATCCAAGATCATATACGAACAAGTCAAAACTTGGTCAAACCTTTCAAATTTTAAGCTTCAAACTGAGAACTGTTCTTCCAAATTCATTCTGATTACCCTGAAACCCGTGCACCAATAAGCAACAATCCGAACGTATTCAAATCATGAAAAGTGACTCAATTGAGAGAGCTGTACCGCAAGCTCACCAGTACCACCACACATAATGCTGAGAACCCGTCACACATCGTAGAAACAGAACACATGAATCTAACCCGAAGGATCATACCTCCACATTACTTTGCTGAAATGCGCGACCCTATCCAAACACTGGTCCGCATGAAACACCTCAAGTCATCATGCCCAAAATCATCAACCAAGCGCATTTTGATGCCTAGCACCCAAAAGTGAATCACCATAACCATGGAGAAGCAACGACGCAATGCCACACCAGTCCGAAGGAACATGTCCAATGTGCAACAAATCATGCAACACCCAAATACCCGTCTCATTCAAATTCCGCTGTAAAGCCCAAATGAAACCGCACCATATGTGCATATAACCACCAAATCTCAACTCCTTGTAACACAGGAGAGTAACTCATAGATCACGAATAAGCTCAACAACAATCGAATGGCACATCTCTCAACAATAGCAATTCGGAGTAAAATCTAACCAGGTGCAGAACACACAACCATGTTGGACCTGCCAATGAACCCCAATTCAACTTTGGTCACCCACAATAGATAATTAACTCTTTGAAGGTTCACAATGACTGAATCATAGCACATACTACCCTCTAACCAACCTTAGCTGTTTTCTCACAGTCCACAACCACAAAGCCATCTAATCACGGAACCTCTCAGTCTCACAATCCATAAAGCACACGAATCGCCATATCTGATCCCGGCTACACTGCCCGAACGTCTAACACACATCCGATACTCGATTATTCCACGAGGGATACTCCTATAATTCTTCTGTGCTACCAAGCCAACTTGAATATCGATAGTCGATCCAATAAAAGAGTGCCACAATACTAATGAAGTATCCTAAATTCAAACACATTACCCTTTCTAAAAATGTATACCATCATCAAACCACACCAATTAGTAACATCATTTACCTACTCATCTGAAACTGCCCGTGTTGCCTAAGAATTTATGACCTTCCTTCCAGAACTGAACTGTGACCTTACACATGCAGATCTCACCCTACACGACATACCGCATATTCCATACCATCCTATGATAAATATGAGAACTTCATAATCCATTGCAATCCACAAGCAACTACGTACTTCCCTAGCCAAGAACTCTCCATTTGATCCCATCTAGGAGAAAATCACTATACATCCCATGCTTCTCATACCAGTAGAAGATATACATCTCTAACCGTGGTAGAAATTATCAAGAACTCTACGAATCCCCTTTCGCACAAGACCGAACCATCAGAACTGACTCCTTCTAACTCAACCAAGCTACACAAGCCATCAAAACCTAAGAGTATTGCCACGAAACACCTGTGGAAACCCACCGCTTCATAAGCACTCAAGAACCGATCATATCCATTACCATGCCAATCCGCCCTACTACCAAGCTATCCCATCTATCCGAGTTCCCTTCTGATTTCCTTTTGATTTACCTTCAACTTGATACTCTTTCTTGCTATAACACCATAATTCCTCAACCCAGACATCATACGGGACCCAAGCATAAAACCACACCGTCTAAGGCTCATAAGCCGCTGAATACTCTCTTAAAAATTCCCAAAAGGACCACATTCAAAATACCTACCCTGAAAGGACTTCCTGCGAATCCAAGGCCATTACCTTTACCTTCCTGATACTGTTATATAGAACCCCATAATGATATAGAAATACTACTAGTCTTGACACCTTCCAGTGCAACCTTAGTTTCTAGCAACACATACAACTTGGAAATCTCCAATTATTACATGTAAAATCTTGAACCCATTAGAACCACTCTCGAGAGTTATCCACTTTACTCAAACCGCAATTAGACTGATTAAATGAACCAAACAACTTGTGCCTCATTAGCATTCCGACACCGCAGAGTGTAACTTCACCTTAATGCAACCAAGCAACTTCCTGTTCTAGGCACCGTACATCCTTTACTACTAACAACTCAAGTCATTCCACGATTCTCATACACCCATAAAGCATGACATAACCTTTATTGAAATTTCCTTTACTCGAGTCATCCCCGGCCTCAACCTCCGTAAGCCATAACTGATTCACAAATACGCCTCAAACTGGAACCATCATAGCACATAACCGTGCAATCAACTAATCAATAGCAGACTCCCCCACTTGGCTCGAAGCCATAGATCAAAACACACAATAACTCACAATGAATATACTCTATTACTGCCATTATACCGTAGTGAGATTGAACTAATTCCTCATAAGCTCGTGCAACACAGATCATCTAGTACTTCAAATCTTCTGCAATTCTCGCATTCACCCTCGTAACAGTCAAGCCCACTCTCTTAAGCGATCAAAATTCAAATTGTAACACACATATTCACTGGTAAAGGAGATCTTCCAACAACAACATAAGGATCGCACAAACTTCGGAACACTCCGCAGGAGATAACCCACCTGCTTAGCCTCAAACTAACATCTCTTTATAACCTTCCACCGTCAAAAACATTACGCAGTCATTTAATCTTCCTGAGTCTGAACTCATATCACAACGTGAAATTTACTTCACTTCCCAACTAGGCAACATGAAAAGATCCTTCATCACACCCACAACTCGGGGCTATACATCAGATCACGATGGATATCAAGCAACAGATAGTTCTTGCTGCCCCAAAGCAGACTCTTCTCGTCTCATTCAATTCATATGAACACATCTCGCAGTCACATCACACTCATCACGTAACTATCCAGTCATCACTTCCCTTAATAGGGACACAATCGAACATATAGATCCAAAAATACGCGCTCGCGCAATCAACAGCTCAGGGCTCAAGCTATAGGCAAAATCCGGCCTCAAGTCCTCCAAACTGGCCCAACATCAACACACAGAGATCACATCTCGCCCCTCATCAGGGAATCACAAGCCATCGACGCATATCTGATACTGAGCGCTCATGCGCGCATACGAACGCGTGGAAGGAATTCAAAGAGTTACATTTCAAGCTGAATCAAGGACGCACGATAAGAGTTCAAGAATGTGAAGTTTTTCCTAAAGGTTCTGCAGCCTCTCGAGGATAAATACAGACGTCTCCGTACCGATCCGCGAGACTCTACTAAACCTGCTCATGACTCGTGAGACCTATAGCAAAATGTGAATTAACATTACCATGATTTTTAATACATGAATAAATATATACATAAAGATAGAATTCACCTTTCAAAACCATTTTCAAATGCTTTTCAAAGAATGTGGAAGGTATTTTTGTAAACAAATAATTTATATTAAAAATAAGCAATGCATGTTATTTTTAATGCACCAAACCAAACAGTTGATAAAGATAATTCTAGCATAAGAAATCTCAGCATTACGAATATACCTTATTCAGTACTATTCTTAAAAATTATCACAATATTAATTATATAAAATAGAATCTTAAAAAAGGGCAGATTTGTTATAATGTATTTTGTCTCCATTAAAATATTAGGTTAAAAGAAGTGTTACAAAAATATCAAATAACGGACGTAAGTGTAATATCCAAAATCATAAGAGAGGTCAGTGTGATGGAGCGAAACGTGAGGAGAGGTTTATGAAATTATCCGTAAATTCTATTAAATATGTGGAATACAAAATTTCGAACTTATGCTTTGTTGCACGTGTCTATTTGGAAAAGTCGTTTTCCTAGCAGAAACACAATGAGCAAAAGTGTCCACCATTGCCCACACAACTTATTATGGTGTTCGTTTCAAAATCAATTTAGTGCCTAGTCATACTCTGAGCTTAATCACTTACATTCCATATGATTCAATTCTTCTTTATATCCAATCTATTTATGTATGGATTAGATAAAAAAGGAAAACTGGTCTCCAATGTGCACATATAAATGTGGTTTCTATTTGCAATTTATTTTCAACTCTAATACAATGTTCCCATTCTAAAATATGTCATTTTAGGTAGAAGCACTAAATAATAACAACGTATAGGCCTATACAAATGTTTTTTTCCCCGATAATATTGATGTCTCGGTCAACTTAAAATCACTTCGATTATTTCACTGAGTATTTGTTACTTCTTGTCAATACAAGTATCGAGTAACCTGGACCAACAAAGCTTAGGCAATAGGCTATACACAAATGCTTAGTGGTTCAATCTCTAATTTGCATCTTAAATATAGTTTTAGTTTGACTAGATTTGATTCTACTTCATTTCTTTTCCTTTTTGTATCTCTAGAAATTTATAGCGGTTTCAACGAAATACACCAAGTTTAGATATCTCCGTGTGACACTTCAATAAGTAGAAGAGAGTTCCAAAGACCAAGCAAAAAAAGGCAGCCCGATGGACAAAGTATCCCGCGTTTATGTAAGGTTCAAGGAAGGGCCGCACCCTAGGAGGTGTGATGTAGGCAGCCTACTTTGATGCAAGCATCAGTGTCTGATTCCATGGCTCGAATCCGTAACCTATATAGGTCATGCGGAGACAACTTTACCGTTGCTCCAAGGCTCCCCCTCTTCCAAAGACCAATCAAACAAACATAAATACACAAATAATTCTTGTACACTTATTGCATTGTCTACAGCTTCAAAAATATAATCTGAAAGCCAGTACTTCCATCACTGAACACTTTGGATCTCATTGTTCTCATGTTATTACATCATAATATAAAAGAATTGAACCTTTATAAACCTCATTGAAGTCACAGTGAATCAAACTTCGTATCCATATTTCTTCCTTTTCCCCTTTGGGGGAGGGAAAATCAATTTTTAGCTTCCTCTCACATTAGGAGTCGTCGCTGCCGGTTGTTCTAACATTGCCATTCATGTACAAATAGGTATTCTTCTGAGAAAAACTGGTCACTGTAGGAACTGAGGAGAATCCAGTATACCTGCCCTCCATCTTCGCCGAGCATATGTCAGAAATGTATCTTAGAAGCTCATGTCCATGGACAAACGGTTGAGCTGCATATTGTTCAAATGGCATCCACTGCAAGTAGAAAAATACAGAATAGGATAGAAAAAAACATGAGCGTGGAGCGTGGAGCGTGGGGCGTGGAGCGTGGAGCTGGGAACTGCTAATTTAGCGCAATTTAACTATGCCAATCTACAAGTTTGCATATAATTTTCTAAGAGCAAGTTAGATGGATCCAAGTTAATTTTCTCACTTCATCTCAATTAAAGCTCATGTCACCTGTTTCTACTTGATTACTTTGTCCGACATCAAACTGACAAGAACGGAGCTAAAAACACTTCAAAAAGAATGCAAGATTTGCCAGATGAGGAAAAAGATGTTTGTTAAGGGAAAACAGAAAATGGTAAAGCCTCGGGTATGATTATTTTTAGCAGCATTGACATAGGAAGTCCTAGATCTGATACCTGGGCTGCCTCTATTTCTGCGTCCTGCTTCTGGATATCAAAGGAGAGAGGTTGTAGCATGCAGACAAAGAATAGATCTGACTTGTCAAAGAATGATTTGTGGCTTTGCCTGCAATTTAATAACATCATCTTTCAAACACAAACTAAGCATCTTAGTCTAAAATGCAGAAACGGTAACAGACCGAACATGTAAGGGACAATAAAAGGTTTTACATGGACAACAAAAGGTTTCACACTCATGTAAAAAGAAGATGACTGAAGCATTTACTAACATCGTGATCCTCTCAATAACTATGTTGTAGGCATTCCACAATCAGAAGGGAACAAGAGCATAACCACCAAGATTATACATACATATTATCAAGAATGTAATCACACATTAAAGATATAATGGAAACTTAAACTACTTTTAAGTGAAAGACAACCTGAATGCCAGTATTTCTACAAATTTTGCATTAACCTGTATCAATGGATACAAAGTGAGTGTTGTTACTAAATCCTGAAACAAACTAGAATATGGAATAACTAGTTTTTAAATTTAAAAATAAGAAATTTCATCGGAATTCTCACTCACCCCTGTCTCTTCTTTTACTTCCCTGACAGCTGCATCACATATATCTTCACCCTGTGAATAAAACGTCAACATAACTGCAGCTATTCTTGCAGCGGATACTTTTGTTTTTTTCCCCCTCCATTTCATTTAATTTGACTTTCTTATATGCCACAGAATTTATCATCCAAACATACCTCATCAACAACTCCTGTAGGAAACTTCCACACACCGGTTCCACGGAATCGTCCGTTCTTTTCTTGGACAACTAGCACCTAAGATTTTAAAGAAATTATTACTACAAGTACTCGAATAACTAACATGTACTAACCACATATATAGCCAGATAGATACTATTACGTACAGAAATAAATGTAAACTGAATACTATCAGTATTATGTACGTGGAGAAAGAAAAACCCTTTTCCAGAAATAAAAAGAAAACTGAAAATGGCTCAAGTGGGCAGAGAGGAGGTGGAGTAAGGTGGTCCGTATACTAACAATGGAAATTGAAAGAAAATAGAGGTATAAAAACCTGAGGTGCCATACGTACGAGAAGATATCTTCATGCAACCCACACTGAATAATCAGTCTGTATGGAGAAATTATTTCAGTGATGTTATATATATTCGATTTCACTAGATAAGTACCGTTAGTTTTCATTAATGCTCCGTGAATATAACCTTGAGATATAGTGATATACAAGTTTTGGCACATCTCAGGCATTCTCTCCCTACAGTCACTTATCTACAACATTTTGCTATCTTTAACTGTCTGTTTTCTATCTCTCTACCTTCTGCTTCTGTCTTTGGTGCAAATAGCAATTCTGTCCTATATTTGGTAATTAAGTCTAGTTAACTTCCAAGTTAACTAATTCATTCACCTTTAGGAAGAAACAACAAGTTATCTGACTAAATATATTGGCAGAGAATACCGATCGGCACATGCAAACACACATCAAAGCTGTGGATAGAGGTTAATATGGAGCAGCTAGGATAAGGATTCTGCAACAATGACCCATTCTTCTCATTTTCATCCTTTGCAATTATGCAAAAACTCATAAAATTAATTCAACATCCGTATAGAGCTTATTATGTTATCTTTACTTATTTATTTATTAATTAATATTTATTTTGGATAAGCAATATTCCATGATAGCTAAAGGTAATGACTACCCCTAGAGAAGGGTACACAAATCAGATAATACAACAACAACCCAGTATAATCCCACAAGCGGGGGTACACAAATCAGATAAAGCTTATAAAAAGAGACTCTCCAAAAAGTTTACCCAATTACTATCCTAATAGAGATATAGCGTAAACTCCACAGAATAAATTTAAAAAAAAGATATGGGATATAGATTATTTCATTCTTCAGAAGCTCCAGTTCATTTTCCTTCAAACTATCTTTACTGCATGAGGTGCAGATCCAGGTTTTCCCCCTTTTAATCTCAATTCTCCTATTTTGCAGCAAGAAAGCAGATGCTTCACTGTTTTGGAAATCACCTGAATGACTCCAAGTAGGCTATCAAGCAAATTACATGATTTGGTGGTAGAGGCATAGTGGATAAGTTTCACTGGTAGGCTTGCGCAAAAAATCACTATTTACGTGCTGCCTTCCATACAGAAGAACTCCTTCTTTTGGGATCGTAAACAGACTCGGAAGGAGAGTCCCTTCTGCTTCTCTTGAGAAATCATCTGTACGAGGAATTGACTTGAACTTGCCTTGAGGATAACCCGTCTCTCAGTCTCGTAAGTCCCTGGTTCTATCAGTTAAACTCCCCAAACACAGAATGCGCTCTTTTTCTGGCAACCTCGACTACAGAACATCAGTTTGCAGGACTGGAGTAAGGTTACTGAAATCTCACCTTACAAGGTCCCTCATTACACATCCTCATACCCAGAGTAGCATCTTCCCAATCTGCCCACATGTACCTAATTTCCCTTTGGAATCCCCCACCTGCGAGTCTGCGACCATGTACCTAATTTTCCCCTCTATAAAGTAATTTTGGCCAATTAATTCTATAACATCCATGATACTCACGTTGGACACAAATCTCGACCAATCATGAACATATTGCAGACTTGCCAAATAACAATGAAACCGTCTTCTTCTTCAAAAGAAGCCATGTAACTTCTTTGATCTGACGGACTATGATTTCTGTAGATCAGATCTTATTGTTACTCGTTTTCTTGTTCAGTAACAACAACAACAACAACAAACCCAGTGAGTTCCCACAAGTGGGGTCTGGGAAGGGTAGTGTGTACCCAGACCTTACTCTTACCTAGGGGCAGAGAAGTTGTTTCCAATAGACCCTCGGGTAAATACAAGATGAAAAGAATCAGTGGCAACAAGTGGTAACAACAACAACAACAAGGTATTAAGGAAACTAAAGCGAAAGAAAATCTTCAGTTGACCGTCATTTGTGCTCTTTTTTTTATGAATAGTAACATTATCTATGTATCCAATTAATGAAATAAACACATACAATCATGTACTTTTGAGGTGCATACTGAACAAAAATGGCTCATCAATCTAATCCCCACTAAAATTGGAAGCCCCTCCATGATGAAGCAGATTGTAGTTGTTCTTTCCTTAATGTATTATAATGATCGGTCTCTATTCTAGCTTTCCCAACAAAACTGAGTGCTTATATACATGACCATTAGGCAGAATCAGTAACACCAAAATATACCTCATTCCTTTCATTGATGACAAAAGCACCAATACCCACTCTATGTGTGGCATTTGCCGGAATAGTGTTAGCAGTTCCAGGGAGCCAATTCACAAGCATCAAGTATTTTGGTTCTGCGTGGTGGTAATAAAATCCTTCCTACAAAGAAACAGGATAATTGTATCAGAAATTGAGACAGGACCAATATAATTTAATCATCAAGAAGAGCCACAAACTTACCTTAACAGCAGGTTCAACAAGCGTTACAAGCTCAATAGGTAACTTGATCCAAACACCTCTTTTACCCTGCAAGCATGTCCACCTATTATCAAGGATGGAATTTGAATCAAAATTTAATGCACAGAAATTCAGAAGCCCAATCTAAAGGTAATCATCACCCTGCAAACTTAGAACTGTTCTCTTTTTCCAATAGTATCCATATAAGCATGACAGTACAATCAGCCTTTTCAAAAGACAGGTAACTCTTAGTAGACTCATGTTTCCTCACAGTTTAGATATGGAGCCCAGAATTTGGCCATGTCAAGTGACAGTGTGACACAACATTATTCAATCACCACTTCCTACTTTTAGCACATGAATGATCTGGTGTTCAACGGAGTGTATACTAGATGTTATGCAACATATTCCAAAGGATGAAGTCGCAATATGCACAATAGATAACATCATAAGATCAACATCGAAATCAGCTCAGTGTGATGTTCAATTAATAGCCTCATGGTAACACACAGAGTATTCTTTTTTTCCTTCTACTTACTCCATAAAAAAAGGACGTATTGCTAACAATCCAGCATGCAGATGTACCCCTCCACCCCTAGGGGGCGGATCCAGCCTATTACATGTGGGTTCCCGTGAATCCAGTAGCTTTTGTACATACCCTGTATATGTGTTAAAAAATTCACTAAATATTCATAAATTTTTTATTATGAACCCAGTTATTTATTGTATATCTACTTAAGGTTGCTATAAAAACCCATAAACTTTAAATCCTGGATCCGCCCCTGCGGCCCTACCCCGATACCTCTTAAACCTCTATGCAGTTCAGCATTACTACGGTCATGCGGTATAACAATCCTAAATTTGTGATAACTAAGATGTCCAGGAGCAACAATAAAAAATCTAAGATGTTTAGGAGCCATACAAAGAAATTAAATAAACATGTGTATGAAAGGAAATCATTTTTTGCCTCAGAGGACAAACCTAGCAGGATAAAAAGGAAAATATAAATCATCAACAGTATTATATGTTATGATAAAAGAACCTTTTTCCAACTTTATTGTTACTTTAGGGTGAGGAGACACCATTCAAAACCCTGGACCACTTACAATGAAGTAGGACAGACAACAAAAGAATTTTTCTTTTTTCAAAACATGGTGTTTGGGCCATCAATCGCCCACCTCAATTATTCCACCGGATACCTGCAACCTCCCATCAACACAGGCTACGAATAACTCTGCTCACCAAGACTTAGGGAAGAAATCAACTACTAGTATTTTTTGCCTCAGCTAGGATTTGAACCTGAAAAAAGAATCTTTTCTCAACTTATTCACGACTAAGGGGAATCCTACAAGATATGATCAAGAACTTGAGTGAAATTTGAAAATAGAATCTGAATAGTAACCAAAAACAAAATATCTATGTTCAGGTTCAAATCCCATAGGAGGCAAAAGATTTCTTCCCACCCAAGCCTCGAAGTGCGTATGAGCTGGCCCGAACACCACCGTCATAAAAGTAAATAACCAAAAACAAAATATACATATTAGTAATACCTGTTGTCTCCAATGAGAAAGTGAGGCTCTAAGCAAAGAAGCAAAGACAGAAGGGTCCAAGGGCTCATTAGTCATTTCCACTGTTACCCCACCATGGTCATCCTCTTTTGCATCTAATATTCTATCCACTTGTTCCATTTCCTTCTCCCTTGCCATTGCTGGAGTTACAGAGCAACTCACTGAGGACCTTGTGTGTAGGTAAATACTACACCTAATCTTGGTCAATTTGCCTAAAAATAGTCACAAAAATAAATTGGTTAGGCTTGTTCAAAACTTAAAAAAACACAAAAGGGTCAATTAAAGAAATAAAAATAGAACCTAATCTTGGAAAATTTGCCTAAAATATTCACAATAAATGGTTACACTTGCAAAAAGCTAACAATTTTTGTCTGATAGCCACTGTCCTCGACAATTTGCGCACATCTTAACTAATTTCACCTCCCACCCGCACAAATACCGGATAATAATTAAAAAACTGATAAAATAGAGCCTAATCTTGGACAATTTGGCTAAAATATTCACAATAATTGGTTAAACTTATAAAAAGCTGACAATTTTATTTTTGATGACCGGTTCCAGCTTAGATGCACCTCCGCTAATTTTACTGCACACCTGCCACCTCCTACCACGTCAAGTACCAGGTAGTAATTTAGAAAAAATGATAAAATAGAGCCTAATCTTGGACAATTTAGCTAAATTAATGACAATAATTGGTTGAATTTAGACAAGATAAAAAATTTCAGAAAATGGTATATTCCATATAGAAAAATAGAACAAGGGTCACCTTGATTTTTGCAGAAACTGATGACTGTTGTCGGATGATTAGAGAAGAAGTGACGTTTTGAGCTAAAAAATGAAGTTCTTGAGGAGGTGACATAGGAAAGAAAAGGAGTGCGACACAAAAATTTGATTATCATTTAATCAGATTATATGGGGAAAATATATTTAAAAGAATAATTGAAGAATGAGGATTTGCAATTCAGGAAAATTAGTAACGTGGAGTCAGAAGGAGAGAGCCTGTGATTTTCTTGGAACTTGATTGAAGGAAGGAGTCAAAAAACTGATTTTGAAAAATAATCGTGGAATAGTAGTGTACCAAACTCTTCACAATGTCAAGTGTTCAAATGAACCACACTTTTTTTTTTCTATTTATAGACTTATTAATAATTAGCTTCATACTCTAGTCATAATTTCTAAAATTAGTTATCTCAAATTATTTATTAGTTTACAAGTTTAAGACATAATCAATTGTTTTTTCCTCATTTTACCTTTAGTAGTAATTGTTCTTGAAATGAAATGGAGATGGTACATGTTATGAATCAAAATGACCAAAAGACTAAGGTTGAGGGCACACTCGGGAACTTAGCAAATTACATATGGGACCCGGGTTAGATGGAGCAGTGTGACGACCCGGCCGATCGTCTTAAGAATTAACGCCCCGATCGCCTATTAATTGCTTTCCCCAAGTCTATTTCTGCTAATTTGATTTGCCGGGACGTTCGGTTTTGAGTTACGGAGTGTTTTGGGACACTTAGTCCCTAAATGAGAGCTTAAGTGTTGGAAAAGTGACCATAGTCGGAACAGTGTGAAGACGACCTCAGAATGGAAATCCGATGGTTTCTTTAGTTTCGTTAGGTGATTTCGGGGTTAGGAGCGTGTTCGGAATGTGTTTTGGAGGTCCGTAGCTTATTTAGGTTTGAAATGCCGAAGTTTAAATTTTTGAAGTTTCCGGTCCGATAGTGAGATTTTGATCCGAGGGTCGGAATGGAATTCCGGAAGTTGCAGTAGTTCCGTCATGTCATTTGGGATGTGTGTGTAAAATTTCAGGTCATTCGGACGAGGTTTGATAGACTTTTTGATCGAAAATGTGTTTTTAGAGTTTTTGAAGTTCTTAAGGTTGAATTCAATGAAAAATAGGTGTTTTGGTGTTGTTTGTAGCGTTCCGAAGGTTGGAACAAGTTTGAACGATGTTTTAGGTTATGTTGGTGCAATTGGTTTGAAGTCCCGGAGACTCGGGTGAGTTCCGGGTAGGTTCCGGGATGTTATTAGGCCAAAAATCAAAGCCATTGCAGGTCCAGAATAGTTGCAGGCCTCAGAACCCACCAATGCGGTCCGCACGAAATCCAGTGCGTCCGCGGTGGGGGCTGTGCGGCTGCACAAAATGTAGTGCGGTCCGCGGTAGGGGGCTTTTTCACTGGTCCTACTTCGGGAGCTCATATCTTTTTATCTACAAGAAATTTTGAGATGATTCAAAAACTAAAGTTGTAGCCCTTCGTGTCTAGTTTCCAGAAAGCTAAACAAATCATAATTTGAACATCAGTAGCGAAAGTTATGGCTAAAATACTAAAGCCTATCACTGCAGTCAAGACCTGTGCGGCCGCCGTCGTTTTTGTGCGGACCGCACTGGTTTGGTGCGGACCGCGGTCGTTTTTGTGCGGTCCGCAGAGGTGGAAATCTGGGGGTTATCTATAAATACGAGATTTTGGGTTTTATTTGATATTTTGACCTAGAGAGCTCGGATTTTGGCGATTTTTCGAAGGTGTTTCAAGAAATTCATCGGGGTAAGTGATTCTAACTCAGATTTGGCTAGAGTACATGAATCTATCATTAAATTCATCATTTTATTCGTGAATTGGGATGGAATTTGGGGAAAAAAATTGTGCAATATTCCAAAAATATAAGATGATGATTTGAAGGACCAAACGATATCGGAATTGGATAATTTTTATATGGTTAGACTCGTGAGGATGTGAGGATTCTGGAAATAAAAATTTTACTCGATTCCTAGACGTGGGCCCAAGGGGCATTTTGGTCATTTTACATAATTTCGCGTACTAGCTTAGAATTTAATTATAGAATCAGTTACTTGAGGAGTTATTTACAATATGCAATTGAATTGAATAGATTTGGGCCATTTGGAGCCGGATACTCGTGGCAAAAGCGTGGTTTCTAGTTGATTTTGAGCCGGTTCGAGGTAAGTGGCTTGTCTAACCTTGTGTGGGGGACCTCCCCCTTAGGATATGATAAATGGTAATTGAATGCCTTGTACGTGAGGTGACGAGCGTGTACTTGAGCTAATTGTTGAAAATCCGATTTTACTTAAATATGTAGACTGAGTTTCTTTCTTACCTGCTTTATTCCATTTGCAATTATAGCCTGTGTTAGTTTAGAAAAGCATGTTTAGTTGATCTAAATTGCCTATTTGCTTAAGTTGCTTTGTTTATACTACGTGAAGCATGTTAGGCTAGAACTACCTGTTTGCCTTGTATTTTTTTTTTGAACTTCATTTCTGAATATCTTCTTGTTGTGACTGCGTATTTACATTGGGACTATGGATGTGGGATTCCGGTAGCTCCCCCCTTGTATGTTTACTTTGGGACTGCGGGTTCGATTCCCGATAGATCCCCCTACATATTTACTTTGGGACTGTGGGTTCAATTCCCGATAGATTCCCCCGCATATTTACTTTGGGACTGCAGGTTAGATTCCCGATAGATCCCCCTGCACATTGATAGTTGGACTACGGGACGGTATCCCGGGAGATCCTTCAGATATACTCAAATGATGGACTACGGGACGGTATCCCGAGAGCTCCTTAGACAGTTGATGAAATGGACTACAGGACGGTATCCTGGGAGATCCTCGTTGATGGTATTGATATTGAGTTGTTTTACTCCGTGTTACCTTATTCTCTGTGTATTATTTGTTGCCTTGTATAACCTGTCTTACTTCATAGTTGTACTCATTATTTCTGTTTATTCCATACTGTTGCAAGACTTATTATTATGTTTATTCTCAGTAGGGCCCTGACCTTCCTCGTCACTACCCAACCGAGGTTAGGCATGGCATTTACTGAGTACCGTTGTGGTGTACTCATGCCCCTTCTGCGCATGTTTTTTCATGTGCAGATCCAGGTAGCTCTACCCAGGCGTATCACCCTCGAGGCGGAGAGATCTAGTAGAGACTTCGAGGTACATCTGCCGCGTCCGCAGACCAAGGAGTCTCTATCTTATTCTAGCTTTAGGAGTTAGCCTTCCTTTCTTACTGTTGTTTTAGACATTCTGGAGTTAGAGCAGTATACTATCTTTCTTTTAGCTTGTGTTCCCGTGAGTTTTCGGGTTTTGGGATGATATCGTAGACTTCCGCGTTATTGAGTTGTATATGCCAAGCGACACCTATATACAGTTCTCTTCTAGCTGTTCAGTTTTAAATTATTATTTTCCGCAAGTTATATTGCTTCCGCATTGTTAGGCTTACCTAATCGTAGGGACTAGGTGCCGTCACGACATGTTCACGGAGGGCGAACTGCGGTCGTGACAAGTTGGTATCAGAGCTCTAGGTTCATAGGAGTCACGGAACACAGGCCGGTTTATTAGAGTCTCGCTGATCGGTACGGAGACGTCTGTACTTATTTACGAGAGGCTATGTAACCGTTAGGAAAATTTTACTTCATTTGATTCCCTGTCGTGCGAGATTTTTGACATCACAATCTTGAACTTCTGCCTTCTATTCTCTCACAGATGGTGAGGACACGTGCTACTCGAGATGATCAGGCACCCGCGCCCCCTATTGTAGCCGTCAGAGGCCGGGGCCGGGGTAGAGGCCGAGGACGCGCACATGGTGTAGCGAGAGCACCTGCGCGAGCTGCCGCCGAGGTACCATCAACAGATCCAGCCGGAGTTCAGGCACCTGACACGCCTATGGCTACTACTACTCCAGCTCTTCAAGAGACTTTGGCACAGTTCCTGAGCATGTTTGGTACGTTGATTCAGGCGGGATTGATTCAGGTTGTACCGACTACTTCACAGATCGGGGGAGGGACCCAGACTCCCGCCGCCCCCACTCCAGAGCAGCAAGTTTCCATTGGTCAGGTTCCAGGTGTCATGGCGACACAGCCTGTGGTCCCGGTTCAGCGGGTGGTGAGGACCTCTCGCCGAGTAGGGGACAGGTGGGTCCAGGAGAGAGAGGACAGACGAGGTCCGGAGGGAGAGTATAGAGGAGTGAGTAGACCTCGTAGATTGGAGAGACCCGCTGGTCCTTATTTTGGAGGAAGAGTACGGCATGGTAGAGGTTTTATGGGTCAGTCAGCTCAGTTTGCATCTCAGATTTCACACAGAGTTTCAGGTGTTCAGGGGCCTTGGAGTACCCCTACCGCACAGTTTCCACTGCCACGTCAGTCGCGAGGTTGCTCTGAGTGTGGTGACATACACCATGTGGTGAAGTATTGTCCTAGACTTGGGAGGAGTGCACCTCCACAGACTTCTCAGCCACAACGTGCCCCGCAGAGTTCTCAGGCTATGGTTACAGCCCCGGTTGCTACCCCACCTGCCCGTACCGTGGCTGTTGCCTCCGATTCTTTCATCACAGGTATTGTCATGGTTTGTTATAGAGGTGTACCGATTCTATTCGATCTAGGCTCCACTTATTTTTATGTGTCTTCTTATTTTGCTCCGCATTTGTGTGTACCTCGGGATTTCCTTGAGTTTCCCTGTTTATGTTTCTACTCTTGTGGGAGATTCTCTTGTTGTGGACTGCGTCTATCGGTCGTGTTTGGTAGCTCTTAGTAGTTTTGAGACCAGAGCCGATTTATTGTTACTCAGCATGGTTGATTTTTATATCATCTCGGGCATGGACTGGTTGTCGCCCCATTATTCTATTCTTGATTGTCACGCCAAGACCGTGACGCTGGTTATGCCAGGTATACTGCGTGTTGATTGGAGTGGTACTTTAGATCACACTCCCAGTAGAGTTATCTCTTTCCTTAAAGCTCAGCGTATGGTTGAGAAGGGGTATGCCGCGTATTTAGCTTATGTGAGAGATGTCAGTGTTGATACCCCTTCTGTTGATTCAGTCCTAGTGGTACGGGGTTATCCCGATATGTTTCTAGCTGATCTTCCGGGCATGCTGCCTAATAGAGATATTGATTTTGGTATTGATTTGTTGCCGGGCACTCAGCCCATTTCCATTCCTCTGTATCGTATGGCTCCTCCTGAGTTGAAGGATCAGTTACAGGAATTGCTTGATAAGGGTTTTATTCGACCCAGTGTTTCACCTTGGGGTGCTCCTGTCTTGTTTGTGAAGAAAAAAGGATGGTTCTATGCGTATGTGTAT